TTTTTTTTTTTTTTTTGGACATTTGAAGCAAAAACAAGTGCAGCCATTTCTAGGGATGTACTGAGTGGAAAATAGGTAATTTCAGAGAAACCTTTGTAAACAAGCTCCAAAATCTTCAAGCTCTTGAAGCAATCGGAGTGGGCCTGAGGGCCTGAGCTATCACAGTGTCTAAGCCATGACGATGAATTCAATTTCCAGGGGCAATCTTAAGTGCGACCTTTCTTAATTGACTACTGGTCGTCTTTTCCGATCATAGCTTTTATGTGTACAAATTACATAACAGCTGAAGGAAAATAAAGCAGTTCCTGATCACACCAAACAATTAAATGAAGAACTGTCCTAATTTTTAAGCATAGAGAATATTACTCTACCGCACATATCAAGTCTATGATGGCAAAAACTTGAGGGTAATAAAAAGAAAAGCACAGTCCTAGGGAAGAGCTGGTATCTTTGCAAACCTAAGAAGGCAAGTGCTGATCCCTCCTGTGCTCAGTCCACACCTCCTCCACACAGCAGATCTGGGAAACCTCCCAGGAGAAAAAAAGCAGCACCAGACAACTTCAGTTCTGTCATCAATTTTTAGGTGTCACTCAAGATGAAGACACCATTTTGTCAACACCGCGGCGAAGCAAGCTGCGAGACAGTGACGTGGACATAACAAGGGAGGATTTGCAGACATCTGCAGTCACCTGACAGACAGCTGCACAGAGAGCAGAAGTCCCCTGACACCGCAGGGCTGAGCAGGGAAGACCTCTGCATCCGCAACACAACAGGAGCTGCTGCCCTCCACGTGAAGAACATTACCCAGAGACTTGGTGTTGGCTGATCTCAGTACAGCTTGGAAAACATTACTTGGCTTTCTTAGAAAAGCTCCTTTCTGTCCGATGATGATCACTCTGCCCAGAAATGCAATAGTCAGACCCCAAAGGTGGCTTTTAGCCTAAGAAAGATTGAATGAAGGAAGCCTTGAGAAGTGTGAAGTTTTGGAGTGATGCAGCAAATCCACCTAGAGAAGGAAAAACCCCGAAGAACAGGCATCGCTGCTGCTGACGCATTCATTACATGCACTGATCCAAATTTCAGAAGCAAGGGCCATTAGGAAAAATATTATGTGAAATATAATCTCAGACAGGTGTGCATCTTACCTGACCTTTGTCTCACACTAAAACCTTAACCCTCTCTCTGCAATATCCCCTGACACCCCAACTCGACATGAAGCAGCAGGTAATGATGTAGGGCCATGGTACAGGCTTGACTGCTGTCACATAGAGGTTAGCTCTGTTTAGTCTGTCCCATTTTCACCTGCTCCCCACTCCAAGCTGTAGCAATGCTTTATAACAGTTACACTTCCAACCAGTGACAGGGGTAACATAATTAAGAGATCAATGATTGCTTCATCTCTGGGAAGCAAGCCATGGAAAGACAAGCAGATCAAGGCATTTCTGTTAGTTAAAGAAAGACCACTGTAGTCTTCCAAATTTTTGACAGGGGAAATTAAGGTACTCTTCAAGGGAGTAGGGATTTGAAAAATCAGGTTCAGCTTGGCTTGGATGCAGTCTTTACATTTGGAGGGCAACAGTTATTAAAAAAAAAAAAAAATCTCCCACAAGTAGATTGAGCAGTGGCATGGGACATCACCAACAAATAAGTCATTTTCAAACTAAATGACAGGAACAAAAGAAAGAAAGAAGGTCCAACTCTTCCCACCGCATTCTTCAAAAAACATAAACTAAAAGCAAAACCATTTTCCAACTTCAGCACTTCCCTTGTAAAGCAACTGCTGTGAAATGAAACCTCAGGGCAGCCAGGACACATCTATACCGGACAAGCCTATTGCCAGACACAGTGGCCTACTGAGCAGTGTCATGTAAAGAAAGCATTACGTATGTAGAGTCCTGAAGCAAAATGAACATTGCATTTTTCATCAGTCTTCTACTTGCATATAGCAAACCACAGAAACTGCATGCTGCAAGCATCGTATTTGCGCATATCTCACAATAACGTGTCTTTCCAAAATTTACTGGTCTGAAGCAATCAAATAATTTTTGCCTGTTTCAGGGTGTCCAATTTTTTAACCAGAAATCTCTTATTTGGATGTCTTTCCTCAGATCTATTGACTCAGTCATCACTTATCTAAATTATGGGATATAGCGGAAAATAAAAATATTCCCCCCCCTCCAACCCAATCATCTAAATTAAATGACAAAATGGAAAAAACAACCCAACCATGAATAATTGTCTCCTATGAGCTCTTCCAGTGACAATGGCAGCTCTGTGACTCTCGAGGGGTAGGTTACAACTTGAAAAAGACTGATGAAATCACAGCTTCAGACAGTTCAGGTCCCCAGCCAAACTAATAAACAGCCCTGTGTGGCATGTAGTATCTGCAGGGACATCTTCTCAACGGCACCACTGTAAAGCCTCAAAGCTTTTTTTTTTTTTTTTTTTGAAAATATTTGTCTCATTCAACAGCATCTGAAGTCAGAAGGAAAATACTCCTCTTCCCCTAACACAGCAAAATGCACATCACGAAAACGCATGGAATTGCATCTTGACTTACAGCATAACTGCTACTATTCAGGCGAAGACAGCTGAATAAAACAAGTAAGCCGAGTTACTTCTTATGACTGCTTACAGAGCTTTATACTGTTCCTACCTGCATGGTGCCTACTGCACACGGACAAAACTGTATTTGGATGGTTTGGTCAGCTTGTGCTGGAGATGTCTACATGAATCATAACTGGAAAAAGCACCCAGTGATTTATGAGTGTCATCCCAAACATGCCAATTAAACTACCATACCAACACTATACAATGAGTTTCGTATAAGCTGTGCATTTTACAAGATAACTCGTCTTAAATGTTTTTCTTGCAAGTTTTAAAAGCCATTTAGCTGAATGGACAAGTACTTCCATGAACAATAAATCAATGCTTAAAGCTAACAAAGAGCTCTAAACTACCTCCATAAATGAACCAAAATAGCTTTCTACAAAAGTATCTGCCTGCTGTAAAGTCCAAAATTACACATCCCTGGAAAACTAGAATCAATTGCTGTGGATCCCAACAGCAAACCAAAAAGAGCCTCTTCAAACATTACGTCTCCTGTTTTTGCAAAGCAGTGGACCTCACAGAGCTGTAGTGAGTCAAAAACGGTTGTTCACAAGTGTAGCTTCCATGAAATTGGGCTGTATATTTTTGGCAAATATGCAGGAATAAAAGATGAATATTGAAAGGCATGCAGAGATTAACAATCTCTCATAGAAGACAGACCACTAGTGAGAGAGCACTTATGTGTTTACCTGTCAATTGTTACTTGGATCTGTGAAGTATTCCAGGGTGTCGCTCCCATCCTAAGGCTACATGTGAATTATATGCACACTGGGCAATGAAGCCCTTCCTTCTTTTGCCCAGCATGGTAGTGGCTTACCTGAATTTGCCGAGATGTGTAAACTGCTCATGTCCTTGGAGAGACCGTTCGTTTTGGGACTAGAAATGGGCGCGCACGCTGACGTAGCTCGGGGTGGCCTCTTTCCCGGGACTTTCACAGTAGTTCTCAGCAAGTCGATTTCTTTCCCGTGAACATTCTGCATATAGTCCTGGTAGGAGGGAAAACAAAAACAGCATCAAAACAAGCAGCTCTACAAGCAGAAGAGCTAAGGAAGCCTGGCTTCTTCAGACTTGTGTCCTACATCATCTGCCATCATGATGACTGTGCTTCCTCCTTCCTTCTACACTGCAGGGAGTCCTATCCACACTTTTCCTATAAATATTACACAAATGTACATCAGAGCAGACCTATCTCATGAAGGAATTATCTATTTATACTAAAGACCTGGGTATAGGCTCATGAGTGTGTTTAGATCAGAAACCGGAGGAACTGGAATTCCTTCCAAGATGTGGATAAATTTAGAGAGACCTGTGCAATACTGAGGGCGCCCACACAACCAAAGACTCGTTGACAACAAGATTTCTTCCAGCTGCACAAGTGTTCAGGGCACTACAATACTTAGCCAGACTAGAAGGCGTTATATAAAAGACTACTAACATTAACTAGGTCAGTTATAAATGTGTTGCACTGAGGCCTGTATAACACCACAGAATCAATTTTACAAGGAAATGCATGAAGGGGACTAGAAGCATACTCCACATCTAAATCACTACTGCCACAATGCAGGGAACAATCAGTTCCCCCATAAAAAACCTTTCACCTTTGACAGTTTTTACAATATGAATTACATATACTCCTCAAAACAGACTAAAAATCTACTCCTGTACCAAAACCATCATTGATCTGCAATTAATTAAAAAAAGGCAACAGAAAACCCCCGTGTACAACCACCCAAGCTTCTTCTCCCAGCTGTTTGGGAATTATTTACAGTAAAAAAGGGAGCCTGGCCGCTTCACTGGCTGAGGAAGCGGAGCATTGCTGCCCAAAGAAACAAAGGCGATCCATTAACAAAAACCCGCCGCGCGCCGCTAGGAAGAGATGCACAAAACTACTTCTCCTATAAATTACCAAGTTGGCATAACTTTCCTGTGCAGTGTCAGTTCTTCACAAATTAAAATACAATAACTAGAACATAATTGAGCATTTATTGCTTATGGGCTCGAAAATGAGGCTTAATCAGATAGTGACTAAACCTCAGCATGTACTCTTTTTAATAGGCACGTTTTATTTAACATACAACAGCCAGTTTGCCGCATTTAAAATTGATAATGAAGGGTTTCTTCCAAATTCTTCAGATGAAGAGAGGCTACAATTTCCCTGCTACCCCGCCAGCATGGGGGATGTGACAGAGCGTTATTAAAGCACTTTTAATTGAGTAGCACAGGCTTAGGTGAGCTATAAACAATTCAAGAGAGTAAGCCAATGTTGGCCAACAGGAAATAAATACCCTGTGGCCTCTGCGATTGTTATAGGAAAGTGCCCAAAGAGAACAGATGCCACGTAGGTATTAACGTCAGCTTAAATATTTATAGGGATAGAGCAAATGTAAATAACAAGGGCTCTTTGATTGTGTGCGAGAGGCATGGCGCTAATCTGCGCATTTCCCCGAGGAGGACGAGGGGAGCGCGCCGAGGTGCATGGCAGCCCCCTGCGCCTCCCGAGCCGCGCGCGGGGAAGAGAGTTGAAACTACAGAATAATGTAGCGGCTTCAGAAGTGCAATGGACGGTTTGATCAGATTAGAACAGATGAGGGTCTCGCTGTCATCTGGAATATGCTGTGTTAAAGAAGAGACAGCAAGGCTGATTTTGATATGCAAATGTTACAGAGATAACTCCCCTAGATGTTAGTTGTAGAAAATGCTGATCCGAGAAAAAAGGGGAAAAAAAAACCCTTTAACAAGGCATGAGGGTAATTCAAAGCCAAGTACTTTTAAACAGCACTTAACAAGTCCCTAGAGCCCACTCAACAGCGGGCCACCCCAGAAGTGCCATCTTCTGCCCCTCAACAGCTTGAAAAAGTAGTAATTGCAAACCCATTTGCATTTTTCTTCTCAAGTTGTCCACGTTCATCATTTAGCAATGCTGGAAAAAAAATAATAATAAAAAGCAAGCAGCAAAGCAAGGGGAAGCCTCCCCAAACATGGTGCTAACAGGATAACCGGGTGCCTGCGTCCCCCGCGCCCCTGCTCTCACACCTTCCCCGTCGCTTGTTTTTCACATTTCGCTCCTAATTATGTTGCATCTATTGCCATACACTTAATTAGCTGCATTAATGTGATTTCTTTTCACATAGTCAAGCAATTAAGAGCTATGATTGAGTTTCATTCAATTAGCCTCAACAAACATGCTAATTGATGTCCCAGATGCAAATGAGGTGCAATGAGAGAAACCTGCTAGCAATTGAGAGTTGTGTGGAGGGACCCTTGGCTCCGGGCTTGCCGGCGGCAGTGCCACTTACCCCGGCTATCGCCTTCTGCGGAGCCATGCCATTAGTGCCTCCGTGTCCCCGACAAACCCCTTCGGGAATAAAGGGTGGCACCAAGCCCAACTGACAGCATCTCCCATTCTCATGGCCACGGGGAGCATCTTCCTGCAGCACAGTAGGCAGGTTAGATCGTAGAGCGACGCAATTTCTTTATCTGAGGACCATAAAAGGTCTCCAGCTCATCTCCGAGCTGCTGAGATACCACGCAGGTAATGGCCTACAGTTATCAGTAACTGGCGACTTAATCTTAGTCAGCTCGGGGGCAATGCAGCTTCTTCAAGTTAAGCCCGGGACACATCAATCAATCAATAATCCCGAAAAAACACACTCACTGTATTGATTCTTGTGGCTTTTCATCCCAAGGTTACCCTTGGCGGTTTGCTCAAATATAGGGCTGCCGCAGTGTTAATTTGCCTACTCAAGGCCATTGACCATTATCTACAGGACTAAATAAACTGCTAAAATATCAGCAAAAAATCATAAACACTACGTTGACTAAAGATGACACAAAGCGGTATTTGACAGCGTACTGCAAAACAAATTGCCCCAAGTAAAAAGACACAATGCGCCAAGACAGAGACTAATGTAAAGCAAAATTATTTTAGTTCTGGTCTTAATACAGCTCTTCATTTATAACAGCTACAATTAAACGAACAGAAGTTTTTTAGATATGCAAATTGAGCAAAAAGATCTGGTTTTGTTTCCTAAACAGACCTACCAAAAAGAAACAACGCGATTTCAGGGTGCCCCTTTTGTTTGCAATGGTGATGGGTGTTAAGGAACTTGCTGGCCTGCATTGCAGTGCCTTCCTATGGCCTGAGGTGCCAGAAGAGAGACTCCACCACAGGCCACAAACTGGCCTCAGATTATGCGATACTTCCAAGCTGTCTTGTACTTTCTCCATGAGAGGAACGGGGAGGATAAAGGAGCTGCCCAGGCTGCCAAACGCACCTCCTTCACAGCCCACACTTAACACTGCTGCTGCCCACTTAGTCCCCTCTCTGGGAGATGGGAAATATGGACCCACCTGGGGGGTGGAGGTAGAAGAAACTGCTGCTTCCTGTGAGCAGATCATTCAAGCTTTGTTTCAAATACCTTAGCAAAGGGCATGTGGAAAACACCCTGAGGGTGCTTCCTCCCCAGGCGATCCTTAAGTCCTTTAAATACACCACTCTCAGGTTGGTAACATTTCAGTTATTAAAAATATTAGTGCTGGAGACTTTCCAGAGGTGGCCCTAATGCAAGAGAATGCAAGAGATGCTCAGGCAGGCTGGTTCTGGCAGGAGGTCAGCTCTGCTCTGTGTGGTCCAGCAGACCAACTCAGACTCTTTCTGTTTGAGTTGCTTTGGGTTGTTGTTCTGTCCTGGGATTGCTGCAATCTGTTTGTCTTGGCCAAAAAGGCAGAAGGCAGGAGACAAGAGCTGGGCCCTCCTTTGGCTGGGTTCGGCTGTACTGTGGTCTGCACAGAAACCTTCTCCCTTTGAGTTGTATCTTCTACACCATGGTGCTGGGTGAGTGGCACTCAAGTTTCACACCAATGCCCTCCTCTCAGGATTGCCACGTCATAAAATTAATATTTCATTAATTTTTTTTTTTGCTCCTTCTTATAGAGCTACACAAGAATGCAGCCCCTCATGTGTTTCTTCTGCTACGTACGTGGCCCCCAACCTTCCCTCTCCTACCCAGAAAGGGCAAAACGACAAGGATGTTGGCCGAGAACACTGCCTTTTTATTTAATCATAAAATGCGCCTTTTCAGTATAAATAAGAATATTATACCTTTTCTCACTTTGATCCATTAGAATAGCTCAGAATAACCTTGTTTTTCCAACACCAGGAACTGATCCAGGCCCAAGAAGAGAGATAGGCAGAAATTCTTCCCCATCCTGCCAGTGGTGCACACTGTGCTTTTGGGGAAAGACTTCATTGTCTTCAGCTACAAGCGAGACTCACAGGGCTCAGTTTACCAGACAGGGTTTCCTGACTGGAGCTAAAATAATAAACGATCATGGAAAGAAGTTTACGGCGGGCTGGAGGACGGCATTTGGAAATGCCAAACGCGATCCCTAGTCAGGGCGCCAACAAGGCAGCCCACACAGCCTATCGTTTGGCCACTTTTGTACAAACAAACCAAAACCAAACCAAGACAAAAGAGGAGAAACCCACCCCAATACCCATGCAGACTGGTGGATGGTCCAAAGCCCTTCACTTTTTGTGTGTGCGCGCGCGCACGCCACAGTCAGACGCTTTTATTGCAAAACGCCGTCTGGAAAAGATGCAAAACAAAATTGCTAAACTGCAAGAAGAAGAAAAGGGGGGAAAAAAGGAAGGAAAAAAAAAACACAAAACAAAAGGCCCCCTTGCCTTTGCTTATTGAGTTCAAAGGCATAACATGCAGCACCCTGCAGCAAATGGGAAGCTACACTAATTTTAAAGCCATAAAACGCTATAAAGCGCCCTGCGGGGCAGGACTACACTGAAGCTAGTTGCACCTAAATAAGACATGGTTCATTTACTTCGCAGCTTAGCCTAATGTAATCATCAGCGGATTTCTAGCCTAGAGTTGTAACAGGCAAATAGCCGATACCGCGCCGGCGACACTCCCAGCCATTGAGAGGCCGCAGCTAGATTGCTGTTGATTAGAAAATTTTTCAGTTTTGACAA